CTGAGGGAACTGAGAATCACTATTTGTGATCTCGACTGATTTTTCTAGAACCAATGTATGAATTTAATTATAGGTCTAACTCCAAAAGGATGTAATCTTAGATCAGTCTAGATTCCCTGAGAACGGGTACAATTATTAGATTGAAAGAAGGAAATATAATAAGTGAAATGTATGTTTGCTCACCTAACTCCAAAAGGATGTAATCTTAGATCTGTCTAGATTCCCTGAGGAGTTAGTATCTACGAGAAGAGTTGAGATGAAAAAGGTCGAGTGATTACGTATAAGGCTAAGGTAATGATATGCTTGTAATGGAGTCTACGACATTACATATGTGTGGGGAGAGGATCATTATCTCTCTTAAAATTCTGGCTTAAGAACACTTAAGAATTGCCTAGGAGATAACCAGAGGGGCTGGTACCTACACAAGAGGACTGAAGCCCTAAACAGAAACCGGAGGGGTTAGCATAAACCCCACTGCTCAGATTTTATTCAGAAGCCTGAGCCCTGTGCAAAACCTGTACTGTGAATAAAAGCTTACATTATGGCCATGTTTGTCCCCAGTGTATGGTCTCCCTAATTGTTGAGATAAGATAATGAAGATATTGTCTTGGTCATTTCCTCCAAGGAGTGTTACCTGAGGTAAAGTCAGGAAGAGTCTGAAGTCTAGCAACCAAGGTGCTTGATGTTTTCATGTGGGACTCCTAGAGCAGCGCTGAAGGAGGCACTGCCAATGCGGAACAAGTGTGAGGAGAGCCCTAGCCAGCCATGTGCCACCCATACACAAGTGCATTTGTTGACCAAGTATGACCTCATCAACTTCACTTGCCAGCAGTCATGGAGTAAACCATGACACACAGCTAATACCAGGCAAATGACATTCGGTGGGCATTCAGTAGAACCATCTGGGCCACACCTGCTTTTGCTGTCTTCACCCCTTGTACTGCTAGTGTTACACTACCTGAAGCCAGGGAATTTTGAATGGCATCACTACACAAAACTGAATTCAACCAGGGTGTTTGTTCAGTCAAATTATTGTAGGTGATCTCTGCTAGTTGCATGAAGGCTATCAAAACACATTCTAAGGAAGCTTGATCATCTGTGGGCCCATGAACACATGTATGATACATCCAGTATTAAGAGGTGTTCTAGAGTTACTGTGAGCTTTGGGGGCCTTGCTGGTGCCAATACATCCTCTCTACCACACACTCTCAATAAGACTGTAACTCTAGCACCCCAGACGTGAGAGTATGGTTCATTGTGATAGTTGTGCCAAGTTTGCACCTCAACCAAATATTTCTTCAAGGTCTTTGCAAAGACACCTTGATCTTTTGGACCGTTCTCAGGTCTTCTGGTCCAAAAGCAGAACTCATAAATATCCAGAGGACTAGCAGGTAGTTTTAACCAATGTTCATTTTCCATAACAGTCAGAAAGGCTTTGAATTTCCCAATGGTGCCATTGCATCTGAGTACAGTGATTTTTATCCACCTTTGTAACAAATGCAATTGTAGTAGTAGTGGTATGACAGCTTCTAATCCAATCAACAGGTAGGACATCAAACAATCAAGTGGAAGTGCTTCAGTCATTCTACCCCATATATTCTGAGTTAGTCTGGAGAACCAAGATTGACAATTTCACAGCTTACTTACCTTAGTTTGAAGGGTGTTGTTTGTGTTTCTTCTGAGCTACAGAGTCAGGAGATCAAGACTTGGTTGAATGAAGAATGATTTAACTAGCTCTGAGTTTGGATCAGACAAACTACAATTAATCATCTGGTACCTGAAGCATAAGCCTCTTGCCATGTCCATTCTCATTCAACACCAAAGGAACAGTGTTTTCCATCAAAATTTCAATTCATTAAAAAACAGCCAATGTTGTCATTGGGTAATTTTGTCTTCAACCAAATGTAATTCACCTTTTCATTTGAAAATACAAACATATGACAGAGATACAGATACAACAAAAATCAAAGTATCATTCTTCACTACATTTATTGAAGGTCACATCTGACTGAAAAAAATTCTTCCGCAAAGCATGAGGCAGGTTCAATGTAAAGCAATCTTTTTCCAAACAGTGCTGTTTGATGCCTCTTGACAATCATCCAAAGTCACTCTTTTAGCAGGTGTTTCAAGTGGGTGATAGATCATGAGTCCTTGGATGATCTTCCATTCTTTGTTAATCACTTTCTTTTTTCAATTGCCTATTGGTCAGAGCCGCTTGTACTGTAGTATTGTCTGTCCAATTCCAACCAGGTCTGTTGTTCAGGCCAACTACCATCAAGAATCCAATTCTGATTGGGAATGTCAGACTCAGTAGGTAATTGATGTGTTTGTGATCATCGTCATCATCTTTCCATTCATTGGTCATTTTGAATGGAGTCCACATTGTACCAACCAAAACACCTATCCCATATGAGGTAGAAGCATCACCCACCCACAAAATTCCAAATGGGTCCATACCAGCTGCACCGCCTCCACCTAGTTCAAAGTACATATAACATAGTTGATTAAGGGAAAAAACCAATATACATGTACAAGTAGACATAGAAAAGATATGTCACCCTTGGGGCCAGACTGGCTTCACTTGGGTGTAGTACATATGCTATATCATGTTGTGGGCGCGTCCTTTTTGAAACGGGCGCGCCCAGGCGCAAAAAAACTCAATTGGAGTGGCGCGGGCGCCAGCGGGGCGTGTCAGGTGCGCCCTTTGCCCCCAAAAAGTGGAAAAAAAGTAAAAATCTTCTACATCAGTACATAGTTTCCAATAAAAGAATTCTAGTCATTGATTGCAAGGTAGATTGCAAGAGATATCACAGTAAATGGAAATCAACTGCGACTCTATATGCATGAAACTCTTACAGCGAGTGCTTACATCTTTTGGACAAGACTCTGTCTGTCAAGTGACAACAGCTCAGAGTGAGGTAGACTGTTGGACCAATATCTCAATACCAAGATGAAGGACACTCCTCAGAGTCCTTGACTCCTCCTCAGGGATTTCTGATGGAGATGGTGACAAATACCCGCAGATTAACTATGGGGCGCGCCCCTACACATCTTGAAGATTAGGGGCGCTACCAGGTGCGACTTTTTCGCGCTTTTTGCGCCACACCCACAACATGAATGCTGTAGCAATGTTTTGGCCCCAAGGGTGACATATCTTTCTTGTGTCTGCTTGTACAATTTCAAGAGACCAGAGAAGAGGATATACATGACAAATACATGTTGGATAAACTCACTCACACACCCAATCATACATACATATCAAGTGTCAGATCAGCTGGTTCCTACATAAACCTGGAAGTACAGTCAACCCCCTCTATATCATAACTGCTTGGAGGAAAGGAATTTCCATGGGTGTAGACAGGTTATATCTTTACAGGGGAGCTTGTTGCAGGCAAAGGCCACTTTGGGAGATCCAAAAACCTATGTTTATAGGCGGGTTATGCCTGTATACAAGTATGGCTTTAGATGGGGTTGTTTATGTTTGATTCTGACATACAATCATTCTGATAACTTCCCTCAGGCTTTGTTGTGATTTTTGGATCTGACTAAAGTACCATGATCTCAAATCAATCAAGTGTGACTTGCAGTAACTGTACCAGTCCACTCCAGTACAAGTTTGATGTATGATTTCTTTACCCATTTCAGAGCTTCATTTACACGCGTACTACAACACCAACAAAAAATGAAATTATTGAAGGGGATTTATTTCTTGCTACCTACTCAACATCACGTTGGGCTATTTAAAACTCTTTTGCCAATTTTTATTTTGACATCACAGCATAGAGAAATAGTTTTGTGAACAGACATCTTCTGCTCGACAGATGAAAGACTCCCGAATCCAGAGAGATGCGCCAAAAGGGGTTCTCAAAGTTGGCCCGGTTTCAAGAAAACCCCAGTTGACCCGGTTGCTTTTTGGCAGTAACCTTGTGTATCGAGTTGACATTTTTTGACAGATCACAGCCAAAAAGTCAACTGGGTCAACCGGGTTTTTACAAACCGGGCCTACTTTGAGAACCCCTAAAGAAATCCTTCTACCTATTGGGTTCTGTTTTTTTGGTGAATACTTTGGTCATGAAGAAACCAGAGTTTCATACCCTTGTATCATGGTTGTTTTGATTTGAATCTTTGGTGGTGGTGGTTATTCTGATGTTATGAATCAAATATCTGCTATATCATAATATCACAATTTCTCTAGTTACTGATAATGATCATTTTGAGTCTTAATGAAGTGGATACTACCATAAGTAGCTTGGAAAGAAACAATTTTAATCAGTATGAAGATTATTGTGATATTAAGATAATAATTGAAAATTGACTTGCCGTTCAAATCAACTAATTTCCAGGTCGGATTGATTTCCAGCTCGAGATTCCACAAAAAACATTGATTTGAATAAACTCAAGAATAAAAAAGTCAAGGCTTAGGTTATACTAAAAGAATGAATTTAATTGACTCACCATCACGCTCAAAGCTCAGTTTTACTTTGAATGGTTTTGTTTGTAAAATATCATAATATCCCAATATCGTAATATCACAACTTCTCTAGTCATTCCTAATGGTCAATTCGAGTCTTACCATAATGAGGTGAATACTACAAGAAACAGCTTGGAAGGAAACGATTCTAATCAGTATGAAAATTATTGTGAAGTTACAATAATGATTGGAATTTGACTCGCCGTTCAAATCAACTAATTTTCAGGTCGGGTTGATGTCCAGCTCGAGATTCCACAAAAAAAGATTCAAAATTCAAGACCAAAAAAGTCAAGGCTTAGGCAATACCAAAAGAATTGATTTAATTCACTCACGATCGATCTCAAAGCTCATCTTTGAATGTTTTTTTTTGGTTCAAGTTCTTGTCTTGTCTTCTCATAGCGCAAAATCCAAAAAAAGAAAAGAAAAACAATTAGAAACCTGATAAGATAAATATTTACAAATCATCAAGATGTTCACAAGAAATTCAACTTTCATAACTAATATCAAAAAGAAACACTTATCGATTTTTTTACAATGCAGCAATCCCGCTCGCCCCCGGTGGTGGTGGTGGTGGTGGTGGACCTCGAGGAGCAGGTGGGCCATCTAGATGAGGTGTGCCTTCAGGGGAAGGTGATTTGTCAGGCGGTGGGGGTTGGCCGCGATGCACAGTTCTGTAATGTCTAGCACAATCACCTTCCCATGCTAGAATTTTCCTACAATCTGGGTACCGACATTGGACTTTCTTTTTACCTAAATGCATACCGTCGATGTGTCTCTGCATATTTTTGATCACGATCATCTTCCCACAACCGGGCCAAGGACAAGGCGCTTTTTGCATTTTTGGTTTCTCAGGATCTCTTTGTCGAACTTTCTTGGTTTGAGGTTGAAGTTCGGTTTCAGAGGCCTTTCGACCACGCTTGCGGGAGGAAGATGTAGATGGTAGTTGGGAGGTAGAGGCGACAGGAGGAGGTCCGGCTCCTGGAGCGGGGTTGGCGTAGCTGTGATGTTGTGGGTTGGCAGAAGGATTGACAGGCCAGTTTGGGGAACCAGCCCCATTTGGATTCAAAAGTAGATGGGCGGGGTTGATGAATTGTGGAGGTTGTTGGTGGAGGGTTAGGGGGGGTACAGGGATATCGGCGCTGGGTGCTTCGGTAGGGTTGGTGTAATGGGGAATGGCAAATTCGTAAATCCAATCCAGGGAATCAGCCCCAGTAAAATCTGTAGAGAGAAGAGCGGGGTCTACGAAGTCTTCCTGCTGTTGCTGTTGCGGAACGGGAATGTCATCGGGTGCGTTGTACAAGAGAGCACTGTAGTCAAGGAATGTTGGGTCTGGATGAGTTGGATATTGGCTGGAGGATGGCACTGGGATGTCAGGTAAGATTAAGTCGGTATTTTCTGCGGGCGGGACAAAGTCAGATTGTAGATGAGAAGTAAAGTGTGATTGTGAGGGATTGTGAGTGGGATGAACTGGTATATCTGTTGTTGGCGTGGCTCTTTCCGGTAGTGGAATAACGTTGCGACTTGGTAGAGCAAGTGGAGGGGCGGAGCGGGTGGGCAACGCCAAAGGTACTGGCTGACACTGTGCAGATGTAGTATTTTTCCACCATGCAAAATGATTAAAATTAATGTCAAAATGATTAAAAATGCTGTGTTAATGCATAAAAATGCACTATTAATGCACCATTCATGTGGAAAAATGCAGCATCAATGCAGTAAAATGCAGTGTTAATGCACACACAAAATGAATTCAGAATTCTACCTTTTTCAATTTTGTTTGTCCTTCAGGTCAATCATTTTTCACTTGGGAAAAATACTACATCTGCCCAGTGTGAAAGGATCCACTAGCATCTTGATCTCTCTTCTCAGCGTTGTCTCCATCTTCAGACCCCCACAATCCATCCTCACCAGTAGCATCGGACGAATCAGAAAACTTGTCAGCCTGGACAGTTGCTAATGTCTCTTGCGTACCTGAAGCGGAACCTGCCGCGTTGAAAGTCGTATTGTGCATGTTGGTATTAGGTGTTTAGAGCGTAGAAAGGTTGGTAGGTTGATTTATCGTTGAGGTTTCGGTTTTGGATTTGCGTTATGAGCGTTGAAGGTTGTGAACGTGAAGGGAATTGCGCTGGGACAAGACTTGTCTGAGGATCACATCTCTTCGTCATCCTGTCGTCTTTTTATACTCGGTGATTCAAGCCCAAGCTGATTCCAAAACCTCGCGATGTGACTATAGACGAAAGAGAAAGCAAACTCAAGCTGAGCTATTACTTCATCTACAGGCTGTTTGTTTACCGTCTTCAGCTTCATTTCTAGAAGCTTTTGAAATTTTGAATTATCATTATTTCAAGACATGCGACACCAAGATAAAGTGATGTAAAGCTCACCCATTACACTTCAGACAGTCAACATTTTGTGCTGAGACAAAGGAATTATGACCCGTTGAGAATCTCGCCTTTGCTTATCGATTTGCCACCCGTGGGATCAGCAAGTAGTCGCCAGGAAAGATGTTTAAAAGCAAAGTACTTCAACCGAAAGCAAAAGATGACTTAAGCTTATAGCCAGTAGCACTGTTCGTATTCGCAGTCAACCGGGAAAAAGACTGTCCGTGGCAATGTATGGATAAGCTCACATAGATAATGTGCTCGACTTGCATTAACAATGTGGACATGTTTCGGTTCTTGATGTTTATAATTAATGGAACTGCTCAAAAGTTCCCAAAACAAATCCAAAAGCAGGTCAACTCATTCATTCCATGAAAATAGGTGACATATCTTCTCTCATTACGTTTTATCATCATCTTTATTTCAAATTTCCAGTATGTAAAGTAAACGAAGAAACACAAAATGAAAAGTTGAACAAACTATGTAAATAAATGGTTCTCAAAGAATAAGCTAATACATTAGGATACACTTTTTATTTTATAAACCAGAACTGATTTAAACTTCAAGGTTGAAGTTGAGCATTTTGTACCTTGCAAAAAAAAATCAAAACAAATGATTTCCATTTTTGTACCCACACCTTACTGTTCAAGCAGAGGTTCATGATCAAGCCTTCAATTGAATCGAAATCGTTTCCACATTCGTCACACGGTCACACAGTCACACCAATGAACAAGTTTTCTCAAACCAACCATCGAATTTCCGTATACACCTTCCACCCACTCATCAAATATCTTAATCCACACAAATTCCTCTCAAAAATCTAGACTTACCAAAAAAAAAGAAACCTTACCAAACCAAATAAAATCCAACCTAAAAGAACCATGAACTATCAATCAATTCAAGATCAACAAACAATTCAAAACAAAACCTATATGTACCAATCCCGAATTGCAATTCCACCCAGATTCTAAGCCTTATGCCTGTACTACACCGTGTAGACTTCATGAGCCCTGAGGAGTAGGATGCAGTTTATCAACAATTTTTCATTAAAAAATATTCAAAAAAAGTTGTTGGCTTCAATATCAATTCACCAGCAGGCAGTGACCACTTCATTTTTTGAATCAAAATTGAATGAAAAAAGTGTGCAGTTGGTCAAGATTTTTCCCATTTTTCCAGGTTTAAAGCCAAATGGATGACAAATAACAATGCTCAATCAAATTTGAAAGAGTTCATCTCAAATTTCACTCCAGGTCTGCAAGTCTGGGAATGAGTCCTAACTTTGCCTCAGTGTCAGCTCAGACCACTCAGAATTTTTACATTCATTTGGTTCAATACTCAATGCGGATGTCACTGCAAGCTATGGAGCTCTGCAGAGCTCTTTTTATGTACCACATTCCTCCCCTGTCAGCTACCCTATCTATTGTCGACCTAAACCGCTGCATCTCCCCTTCTCCTGCTACCACCTCTCTGGATGATTTGCAATGAGATTGTTTGCTGGTCATTGCCCAACGCTACTTCAAGAGTGTTTGCAAAAGTGTTAGGCCATGAACTCCACAGGAGTCAAACTAATTCCTAATGAACCAAGTGACAAACTAGGTCAAGTCAGGCTTTGGTCCTCGTCTATAGCCATTCCAATATATATGGCGAGTAAGACTGCACTGCTTCAGTGTGAAAGACCTTCAATGATTTTGTTGCCGAAGGGGACTTGTATATCGGCTACACACTTTTGCCGCCGGGCCTTACCTCTCTGCCGGAGGACCAGCAGGGCACCTTTCTGAAAGGCACATGAGCTTATTTCAAATGCTAGCGCCGAGTGCTCTCCGCAATCACCTACACATTCACGATCAAAAACCACCTGATGCCGTGAAGTACATGAAGCAATCAATTGAGACCAAGAGCCTAGTTCCACTTGGGCTGTGGATAGTAAGCACTCAGAATCGTCAAGATACACAGAGAGTGATTTGTCACTCGCTGAATCAAATTCTTCAAACCGCTCGGAGCTGTTTCGGCCTCAGCAACTTGCTAAAGCATGGTCCTGGGTGGTGCGGTGCGCTCAAGGGCTAGCGACTTCACCGACTAGTAGACATCAAGAAGATCATCATCGAACTCTAGCCTGTTGAAACAGACATTGAGTTGTGAATGACCACTCGTTATTCGAATGAATTTGTCCAGACTTACATATCTCAGCGGAATTGGTGCCAAAGACGGAGCTGATGAAAAAAGGAATTGATGTTTCCCCAATTCATTTTTGTTTCTTTCATCCTAAGCTCATGATGTTTGGCTGCTGTCCTTATGCAATCTGGAAGCAGCTTGTAAGCAGCTGAGTTTCCCTCAAAGCCCGTCTTGTTTACTTTTCACTATGTGCAAATTCAATTCTTTGTGACCTCGCACTTTGAGCCTCTCTTCTTACGTATTCCAAATCTACATTTTGTAAGACTCGGTCCGGGGCCCGTTATAACTTCGCTCAGTGAGGGTGCTTATTGGCCGGTCATCCACTTCTGGCCTACAATGCCACGATCGGATTGATGGTCCAAACTCTTGGTCCACATTGCTCTATTTAAACATCCTTCAATTTACAATGTCGTTAAATTTGATTTGCTGCCTTTGATCAGCTCAGTGAAGGAATTCTATATATTTTGCCATCTAGCCACTTGCTATCTCGTTGTTCACCTACCCTATTTTCCGTCTTTCCGTCATCGATTTCGCTTTTCCACTAATTACCTATATATTTCCATCTACCCACTACCCACTTCCCTTAATTATCACACATTACACATCAATATTCACAATACTTTGTACTCAAGACTCTGTAAACAAAATGGGTCCAAATCTCAACTCGTTCCCCACGGGGGTCAATCGTGAAGCTGGCTTCAAGTTCCCTAAGTTCAACACACCTGTGTTAGACAATCCAGAAGTTACACCCAACGAGTTGGTAGATTTTCACGTTACCCACAATTCCTCATATCCATTTGGAATCCTCGCTGCTTCCGAAAAAGACGGCATCGCGAAGGATATCATAACGTGGAACGAAATAGGAAGTGCACTGCTCAAGGTGTACCAAGAATTGAGTAGCATATCGCCAGCTGCTCCCGGTACTTCGCCTGTCGTCGGCCTCATCGCGTACGGCGAGCCGTTGGTTTACTTCACCGTGCTGTTAGGTATCATGAAGGCAGGATGTGTCGTAAGTTCCAGAGTCGATGTTGTGGAAACCCAATTCTTTGTGCTGAGCGGTCCCTTTTCTCCCCTAATTGATACAGCCCTTTGCGATTTCCCCGAGAAACTCTCCGGCTGCGATCGCTCATCTGCTTAAATCCTCAGGTTGTCGGAATGTTTATGTAGAATTTGACCCACGGCTCTTGTCTCACAACGCCTCCAACATGTCAGTCAGCGAGAAAATGAGTCGAGACCAAATGGATGAGGTCCTCAAACTTTTGCCAGAATCGCATTTACGAGAGGTAATGGAGCTTCCATCAGCGCATACTCTCTTCCCCCGCCTCGTCACCGGGTCTGCGTATATCTTCGACTCCACGGTACACGAAAAATTGGAATCGATTCCAACGCCGATCAAAGCTGCTTGCGAGCCGGTCATGATTCTTCATTCGTCAGGCTCCATTGCGTTCCCCAAGACACTCTACATGGGTCGATCTGTTATTCAATCTTGGCTCAGAGCCCCACTTTCCAACGGATTTTGCTGGGAGGGCGAACTGACCGCGGCCATGGCCTTGCCAGCATTTCAGGCGATGGGCTTTCATGTTGGATCGCTGATCAACCTTTCAACAGGTTCCATTTCTGGATTCTTTCGACCCGATATTGGGCCTGATGGCCGATGCAAACCCAAGACACCCAACTCTTTCAACGTAATACAGGCGATAGCATCTTTAGGTTGTACTATCGCTTCCTTTAGCCCCATGATGCTCACTGTGAGTCATCCATTGAATGCATCTCATTGTCATCACATACCTCTGAGGTCGGATTCATCCATAACAGGAATTCGCCTCCGATCCGTCGAGCATCGAAACCCTTCGCACCTTGAAGAGGGTTGGATTTGGAGGAGGACCACTCAACACTGAGATTGGGAATCAGCTTGTCAAGAGTGGTGTCAACCTCTGTGTGGTGTATGGATCGTGAGTGCACGCTTGGGTCCTTTCATATTTATTCAATGTGTGACTTTGACCATTCAATGGTCACCTTCTCAATACAGCACCGAAGTGGGCCCGATCTCCGCCCTTTTTTCTGACCGTTGCTTAGGGGCAGACTGGGAGTACTTCGAAATGTCACCCCAGCTCACCACTCGCTTCATACCGCATGAGAATGACCTCTATGAATTGGTCGTACTGGTGAGCTGCGCATGGGAATGATATCAGTTCGAACAGGGTCAAGAAACTGATTTTCTCTGAATTGTTCAGTCTTCTGATGTGCATCGATGTTCGACCACTGCAATCGAACCAATTATGTCACTCCAAACGTATCACACCAACGACTTTCTGGCCAAACACCCTACACTCCCACTGTATCGCGTTGTTGGACGTCTGGATGACCAGATAATGTTATCCAATTCTGAGAAGACCAATCCGTGAGTACATCATGCAAAACACGTCTATCAGCTCTCGTTTTGATATCTCGATGATTGTCACAGAGGACCAATGGAAGCCATCATCACATTCAACCCTGCTATTAAGAGTGCACTAATGTTTGGAAGGGGAAAGCCACAAAATGGGGTAATAATTGAGCCTGAAGAAGCCTCTGTCCTCGACATAACGAATCGAACAGCTGTGGAGGAATACATCTCCCAAATTTGGTAAGTTCCTCCTACAATTTTCTTGCTTTCGTGTATAAACTGGGATTGACGATATTTTCTCGTTTGATAGGCCTTCAATCGTCGAGGCCAACAATTTTGGACCCAGTCATAGTAGATTGACGCGTGACCTGATCATGATCATTGATCCCAGGGTGACGCCTCTCCCGAGAACATCCAAAGGCCAACTTTCGCGCCCCAAGGTCACCGAGATGTTTCAGGCTCAGATTGAAGCAAAGTATTCAAACGACCAAGCTTTGGACTCGAATTCAGCATTTATTGACGTATCAATTAATCCTCAAGAGATACTGATAGGCAAAAGCGTGCGCAATCGTGTAGAGCGTATCATAAGCATGGTGCTGGATGGTGATGTAAACCCAGAGGAAGATCTGTTTGCCCAAGGATGTGATAGGTAAGCCAACCCCTGAAATCCTGCTTCTTCATTTCCACATGTTGTTGACTTTTATCATCAGTTTACATGCAAGATACATCAGATGCCGGATTGTGCAGCTCATCCAAAAAAGCTCCAAAAATACACCTAATGTTCCTCAAAACATCTTATATCGCTATCCAACAGTCTTGATGCTCACCCAATGGGTTTTGAGTATCCTTTCACACATCCCATTACATGTGTCTCAATCTGAAGAAGAGAGCTGTACACGTTTAATCAAGATGATCATGAAGTATCAACCGAGCATCTAATAGAGTGGCACTTTTCTCAATTTTTTGCCATGAACATTCTCCAATTCTCCTTGATTCCTTGCAACTTGAGTTTATATTGACATTCAAATACACGTGTTCCAGAATAGCCTCATTCTATATCACACTTGTTTCTTATGCTTTTGAATCTTTATGTACTGGTACACACAAGGCATGAGCAGAATTACAAATAATATGATGTAAATAATGTAAACAATGCAGAAAATACAAAAACCAACCACATCAACTATAATCTCACTCAACGTCATCCTGAGACGTAAAACAAGTACCTTCAGCAGAACCATAGCTGAATAATGTGTTTGGCGATGGGTATTGAGGCTTTGTTACAGTATCTTACTGAAGTAAAACTGGTGAATAACCGGAGCTGGCGAATCCAAGTTGTCTTAGGTGCAGCATGGGCACTACTCCCTGGTACTTGCTGAAAGGTGTGTTCCAATAATGGTCTTCCAAGGAAGGTACAACAGTATTCCTGTCTCGGGTTTACAATGCAATTGTAATAGTCTAGTTTCTACATATTGATAAAGAGACATCTTTATCAATAACAATCTTCAAAATATTTTGGATGATAAAAGTGTCAATCTAGATGTTCAGATCTTAGTTTGATAAAAACATGCTTTAGTGACAATATACACAATAACAGTTATAAAAAATGATAACAGTCAAGTAAGAAAGATAGGATCAATGAATTGGATACAATCTAAGTCAAAAGTATGAGCTGGATTTTTGGTAAAAATGTATTTAGTTTTATTTCTAAAAGTAAGGTTGTTGGTTTGTAAAAAGGTGATTCTCCTTCTCACAAGGGTTAAAATCACTGGTTATATATCATTGTGCACACTTCTTTGTGATCTAGCACATCAGATTTTTCTGTGAGCTCAGGGTCTTGTAATGTGCAACCAACAAGATATGTTGCTTTTTTCTAATACTGTATTCACATCCTCAGAATGTAACTAGGATCCATTAGATCTATGAATATCCTTCTTTGAGATAAGCCTAAGGGTCTCCTGGAGTTCGAGTATGACATCCTCAGTTTTCTCAAACTAATGTATATGACATCACATCCAGTTGACCCTTGATACTTACATACAATATCTGTCATACTTCAGAGTCCTCTGGGGTGTCCTCAATGGCTGACAATGGGAGTATCAGCAAAATACTCCTCATGGCCCACAGGTATGGTCATACAACTCACTGGAAGTACTTTAAGAGGTTGATGAAATTGTTACAAGAAAAGATACCATGCCACAAAGACTTGGCAAAAGGGAAGTGGTGCTGGTTTAACTGACAAACAACATGCAAAAGGTCTGACCATGACAGATATTCTGGAAACAAAATGCCCATGCCTTTGACAAATGGACAACATATTCAAAGATAAGCCAAATACACATTATGGAATCTTGGACACTTGAATGAGCACAAAATCACCAGAATGGACTGCCAAAACTTCATTTCCTTACAAGTTCTCCAAACATACCACCAAAGTCACTCATGTCTCTGATCCCAATATAGACCAACCACCTGATCCCTCAACACTACCAGCTTTTTCTGTGCTTCCTGAAGACATTTGGCTAGCAAGTGTTGAATGTTCAGCTGCCACAAAGGTGATATCTAGTAAGACGTGATGAGGCACTCACCCAAGCTGTTCAAGCACTGCTTGGGTGGTCTCAACACTGTGCATTGCTCAATTGACCTACAAGAGTATTGCAATGTAAAAAACACCAAATATGGACACCAGTGTCACAGTAGATGCACCATCAATGTCAAGGGAGCTTTCAACAGGCACAGTGTCTCTTCTAAATCTTGTTACTGATCAATTTTGTCTTATAGGAGCACAAGAATTATTTTCTGGTCCTTGCATCTCTTGCTGAGGATTTTCTTGGATTATCAGGTACTTCTTGTCCTGGCAAGAGGTCCCTCTCTTGGGCTGCCAATATTACAGCGCCAGGATGGGTCTCTTTAATGGCAATGGCTATTCAAGGATTTTTGGTGTAGTTTGTGGTGATCAATTTATGGGATCAACCAAAGAAAATTAATCATTGGTTGTTAACCAAGTTATTAGAAAAGTTCAGCACAAAAGAAAACTCAAAATTGATGAAATCTGATCAATAGAAGATCTTTTAGGCTTATACATTGCACATTGTATTATTATGAGTAAATTTGCTTAAAACAACCTATTAAGATCAGTATGAATAATTAACAAAAGATTTTGCAAAGAAAAGAAACAAAAAACATAAGAAAAACTTGAAAATATAGGTATACAGGCTTGGCAATGGTTTTTAGGGTATCAATATCAGGTTTATGGGTGCGGTGAGGTTAGAATATAAAAGACCAGAATTATATTATCCAGGAACAACTCTAATCTTGATGGTTGATAAGGAGAAATCGAAGTTATCAAGAAAACAGTGCTTTTTTGAAGTTGGTAAACAAGGGTTTTACGGGTAGTTTACATATGTAATGGTGGTATGAGTGATATTTAAGATTGCCAAGGGGATTTTACAGGATTTTTAAGGTTATAGATGACAATGTAACATTACAGAAGCAAGAGAGTAGGAGCAATAGCTGTGTAAAGTGGTAAAAATGGGTGAATTTTGTCAAAAATGGATGTTTTCAGCTTATTACATATGTCAAATGATGTCAGGATTGGATGTTAAATGGCTCATTCATTGCAGAAAAGTAGATTACATAATGTACAAACTTTAAATTATTAGTGACAGAGGTGTGTGAAGAAAGTTATGAGAGAAATAAGAAATTGGTGTGAACTTTGAATTTTACACTTGCATGCATATGTACATGTAACAACATTTACATACAAAAACCTTAACTTCACAATCAATAACTCATCCATTACTCATCAGAAGTACCTGATATGGTGCCAATTATTGATCAGTATCACAAGATCTACATGATGCACTCTAGTAATCTCAATTTGGACATCATCTGAAAAAACTCATAACTTCAAAAATAGGTTCTCAGCCAGTTTACAAGGAAAAAATCACCTGTATTCATCATAAGAAGCACTGTGTAACATCTAATTACATCATTGATCACTTTGGCTGTGTAAATTACATCATCTATTAGTAACAAAGTCATTACATTGTGTCATTTTACTCTGTATGACGAAAATCAAAGTGCAACCAATCAGCAGGAAAACAAAGCAACTGATATGTATGCCACCAGTTTGTGTTGCACTGGTTTCTTTCTTCCGGGGTAGCTTACTTAGTGCCTCAAGCAACATGAGGAGACAACAGTCCGTCGTAACAGGTTGAGATAAGAAAATCACTCCATGATATCTCTGGTGACCTGAGATGCTTCAAGTGGTGATTGACTGGATTGCTGGTGGCTTGCAGAGCAATAACCTGCAGTGATGCACCATTCATAACAGTATTGCTAGTAATTGATATTGTTTTGTGTGTGTTTTTGCACTTAAAACTGGAATAGTACTATTAAAAGTATTGAGAACATTTCTCTGGTGCTTATTATATTGTTCTCTGTTATCACAAAGTGGTCAGCGAGTGCCCTTCTGTCGGATTCTTTGAAGAAGTCAGTCTTTAGGCAACTTCTACTATTCTCATATTAGTAGCTTATCCCATCTTAGGTTTTTTAAAGCTCTTGTTGAGCTTTAAATACTAAATACCACAATGTGAGGGGTTGAAGTTCAAAATTTCTCTCTCAGGTATATTTGCTGAAGCTGTGGCTTACCTTCAAGCTTACAAGACTTCTATCACCAAGGCTAGAAAGTAATTTCAATCCTATCATTCTCTCATTCTCTTTTCTCTTTGATGACATAACTCCCAAAAAATGTGTGTGTTCTCCCACACTCCATAAATTCAAAATATAGCTCTGCAAAGTTGTGTGCAATCTCTTAGCCTTCTAAAATAACAAAACCAACAAAAAATGGTTGCCTCATCTTTTACCCTGTTTTTTTCTTTAATAATCTCCACTCCACCAGCCTGAAGCTGATTACAATACAGTTGTTTTCAAAAATCTTGTCCAATTTTGCCTGCAGAACTCAAGCAATTTGGCAGTGAATTTGTGACAAGCTTTTTGGAAACAACTGTACATGTGTAATCAAATCATGCCTTAGGACTCAAATGCTCTGCCTGAATAGACTTTTAGGGCCCGTTCGGTAGCGTTTATTTTACCACCGAAAAATGTAGTATTGAAAAAAAAAATGTAGAATGCAAATACCATGTTCGGCCTGTTTTGGCCTGTGGTATCATAATGTATTATGCAATCCAAAACTACACATTGAAATAATCAAAATGTACTTCATTTTCATATGACACTCATGTTAAACTTCGACTTGTCCAATGCTGAAGCCCAACTGAACCACTTGTACCAACACCACCCTTCTCTATCAACTACTCAATTAACCACCTTTTTCAACTTCCAACACATTCTCACGAGTCCAATACTCTTCTCTTACTTCAATTCCAATTCAATATGGGTAGATCATACACTCTAGCAGCCCTTAACCCCACCAAATTGGACTAGCAAAAGTCCAGTA